TCCTTCCTGGATTATTGCAAAAACCATCTCTGGGTCTCCAGCCTCGCCCCTCTATCTGTTCTCACCCTGAAGCCAAGGCAAATCTAATCATGTTACTTCTCTGATTAATAATCTTTAATTTTGAAGTTTTAACTCCTCTGCTTAGCACACAAGTTCCCTGATGAACCAGGCTCTACCTGCATCATTTGCACTTCCTGTCACCTCCCCAAATATATACATATATATTTTAACTCTATATAAAAAAATGATACATTAACATCATACTTAATAATGAAAAACTAGATGCTTTGCCTAAAATTGGGAACAAGGCAAGGATGCCCTTCTCACCACTCCTATTCAACAGTGTACTGGGAGTACTAGCTAATACAAAAATAAGACAAGACAAGAAATAAAACATATACAGATTGGGAAGGAAGAAATAAAATAGTCTGTTTGCAGATAACATGATTATCTATGTAGAAAGTTCCAAAGAATCAACAATAACAAAAAACCTCCTAGAACTAATATGCAATTATAACAAGGTTGTAGAGCACTAGCTTAATACAAAAATCAATTGCTTTCCTATATACCAGAAATGAGCAATTGGAATCTGAACTTAAAAACACAGTACCATTTACATTAGCACCAAAGCCAAAATTAAATACTTAGGTATAAATTTAACAAAATATGTACAAGATCTACATGACGAAATCTACAAAACTCTGCTGAAAGAAATCAAAATAGATCTATATAAATGGAGAGGTACTCCATGGTCATGGGTAGAAAGACTCAATATTATTACGATGTCAGTTCTTCCTAACTTGGTCTAGTGAGATTCAATGCAATCTCAAACCAAAAGCAAGTTACTTTGTGGATATCAACAAACTGGTTCTAAAGTTTATATGCAGCGGCAAAAGACCCAGAATAGCTAACACAATATTTTTTTTTAATTTTATTTTAGCTAACACAATATTGAAGAAGAACAAAGTAAGAGAACTGACACTATTTGATTTCAAGACTTATTATAAAACAACTGGACCAGAATCTGCATTTTTAACAAGATCCCTATGGGGCTGACATACACTAAAATCTGAGAAGCACTGCCTAGATAAAGCTGGCAGTTCTTCAAAATAGAGTTATTAAGTAGAAAAAAAGTTGGAGAACAGAAAAGGTCATAATCAGTTCCTTTTATAAACTAAAGAAAACCAGACCAATATCAGAAGCTCACAAATGTTCAACTTTATATTATTAGAACTGTTTCACTAAAGATACATTGTATATACATAACTTTTATCAATTTTTAGAGACTAAATAATTGATATAGAAGGGTGTGTCTGTAAATAAAAGAATGTTACTTTTTATTTTCATAATAAAAGACTTATTATCAAACTGTAGTAATTCAAGGCAGTGTGGTATGAGTGAAAGAACAGGCAAATAGATCAACGGAACAAGATAGAGCCCAGAAATAGACCTATAAAAATATAGTCAACTGATCTATCACAAAGACACAACGGCAATTTAATGGAGAAAGGTAGTATTTTTGACAAATGGTGCCTGAACCACCAGACATGCATAAAAATTAATCTAGACACTGACCTTGCACCTTCCACAAAAATTAACTCAAAATGGATCATAGGCCTAAATGTAAAATGCAAAGCTATAAAACTTCTAGAAGATAATAGGAGAAAATCTAGGTGACCTTGAGTTTGGCAATGAGTTTTTGGATGCAACACCAAAAAAGCATGATCCATGAAAGAAAGAACTGATAAGGTGGTACTTCATTAAAATAAAAAATCTCTACTCTGCAGAAAACAATGTTAAGAGAATGAAAAGACAAGCTCTAGACTGGCAGAAAATATACCTGGCACATAACAAATGCTATAAATATTCATTACAAAAAATGAATGAGGAAGTGGCACCGGGATGCCTCCAGTAGGACTTCAGAGTCTGATTTTAATTTCCCAAACACTTACAGGTACTCTCACTGGGAGAATTACCTCCACAGGTCCTTCCTGTTGTTCTCAAACTCTTCATCCTATTTATTTTTTAGAATTTATGTGATCTAAAGTAATCATGCTTATTTAGCTGCGTTTTTACTATCTGTCCCCCCACCACCCATAGCCTGGGAGCCATGAGATCCAAAGCCCTGGGTGCTGTGCTCGCCTCTATCACCCAGTGGAGGATGTATGTGTGTGGGGGGGGCTGGGCTGGGCATGGGGAGACTGCTCAGGTGTGGCCCTGTCCTGGGGAAGCTGGTGGTCCAGCGGGGTGGGGCGGGTCAGGGATGCACGCAGGACAGACGAACAGTGTGTTAAGTCCTGACAGAGGAAAGTTCAGGACGCTGGGAGCAGGGAAGAGCAGGAAACTCAGGGACACACCCCCATAGAGGTAACTCAGGGGCCTGGTACTGAAGTTCATTTACTTGTCAGAGAAGAGGTTCTGTAAGGGGGGAAGGATGGTCAAAGGCTTGAAAGAGAAACCCACAGCAAGGCCTGTGACTGGGACCCTGAGGTGTTCAGCATGTCTCGAGCAAACTCACGTTACCTGTGGTAGGTAGGGGAAGAGGGAACAGACCACAAAGATCTTTGATCACCTCTCCCCCAAGTGCAGACTTTCTCTCTTGCTGGAAGACCTGGAGAAAAACAGCCCCTTGAGGAGAATTTAGGACACCTCATCCCTTGAGCACGCTGTTCAACCATCACGCTGTGTCTGACAGAGGAGGGTCTGACAGAAATCAACTGACAGCTTAGTGGTGTTTGGTGGAAAAACGACAATAAACCGACAGGCCTGTGGGTTGACAAATCAAAGGGTTCTGCTACCATGGCAACAGAGTGACAGGGCAACCCTAAAATAAGAGGAAGAAAAGAAGACAGGCCAGAAAAGGTTCAGAGAGAAATCTCAGCAGATAACTGGAGGGAAACACAGTGACAGGGCATTTGGGTGGAGAGCCAGAGCTGGCTTTCCTCCAGCCACGCAGTGGAAAGTCTAGATGCCCCAGGGCAGGACCCTCCCCCTTCCTAGTCTCAGTTTCCTCATCTACACAGAGAGGCACTTCCACGTCACCCTGCGGCTCCTCAGGTTGAGAACCATTGCCCTGGAATGTCTGGCATGGACTAGGGTTCTATGCACAGAACTTCAACAGCAGCAGTACTTATTACAGAAAGGAAGAGAGAAAGGTAAGACGGATGAGATAGTAAACCATCTCTTATATGAATCATACTGCACAAGGCCGATCTTTAAATGGTCCAGGGGGGGACAGGCTTCCTGGATCTATTTCCAGAGCCTGCTGACTCAGGCTGACTCCAGCCTTGCAGCCTCTCACCACCACAGCGGAGCCTGGGGACCCCCCCCATGAATACTGGGCCCCCACCTTAACCTTGAGTGGAGGCAGCAGCGCCTGGTCTCCTGGCTGCCCTTGGGCTCAACATGAAGCCAGCTGGGTCTGGTTGCTGTCCACCCACCCCAACTCCGCAGCTTCCCATGGGCTCTGTCTGACTGGCCCTCTTCCCTCTCTATATCCTGGGCCCTCAGTCTGCCCATTATTCTAATTTTAATCCTTATCTGTAGTATATGGAAACACCGCCCTGTCCTACCCACTTCACAGATCTTTGATCAATGACCAAAGGCCGATGAAAACCCCTAAAACCTGCAAAGCATTGAAAGACAGGGTAGGGGAGTGGGTGAGAGGGTAGTTGGTGGTGTTGCCACTGACCTGCCGGGTAACCTTGGGTAAGTTACATAACCTCTCTGGGCTTCTGTTTCCTCATGATTAAAATGGGTGAAGGATCGCACCTATTCCATAGAGTTAGCGTGAGGATTTCAGTGAATTTACACACAAAGCCGGCTATCATCACCATCATTATTACCATTATTATCATCACCCCAGGCTCTCCCTGCCTGGGGTCCCATTTAGTCAATGGCAGCTCTTCCTCCAGTTGATATCCTGTCTGGGTTTCCAAGTCCTGGGGGTAGGTGTGGAATTCCCTTGGGATGGAGTGGATGGCTGAACTGCTCTTTTGCCAGCTGTGCAGATGAATGGTGACCAGGAGTCACCTCCCTTCTGGAAAGAGCCCGTCTTCCCAAGTGACCTCGGCTGCCCCCTGACCCATGGGCACAGCCAGTGGCTCTGTAGGGTTTGCTTCCTCCCAGGATGTACACTTAAGGCCACGATATGGAGGCACGCAGCCCTAAATCTCCCTCCTAAATCCATGCCGTCAGAAACGGCCACGTCAGCCACGCTCCGATTGCTGGGGCCAAGGAAACCCTCTGTCTGTTTCCAGACAAAGGAGGCTGGGCATCTTATTTCTAGAAAACCTTCTTGCCCAGAAGGATAAAAATCTCTATCCCCAATGCACAAAATTACCATTTCCGGTTTAGTTTAAGAATTCACACTATAATCCACAAAAAGAGTTCTCTAATAATGCAGCAGAAGAACTAGAGAAAATTCCAGTTTTCTCAATAGGATTCGCTATGCCGTAGGGAAATCATAGCACACAGCGCACCCCGTTCAGCCAGCTGTCTTCGACAAAGGGCTGTTTAACTATCCTGAGAGAAAAGCCAACAAACGTACAACTCCCCTAATCTTGAACTTCCCTAATCGGGAAGTGTTCTAGGAAGATCGTTCAGTGAAGGGCAGGGCCAAATGCAATATGCATTTAACAGGACTTTGATGGAAGCGCCTTTATTTTAACAACAATTTCTGATATCAAATGTGTGAAAAGAAATCTATTGTTCATCACTTTGAAAATCATACAGTAACTGGAAGGAGCTATCAGTTTGCTTATTCCCCAGTAGCACTTGTTAGGGAACTTATTTTAAAGAAGAGAATAGAAATGCAACGTAATTTCTGGGCAGATAGAGCATCAGGGCCCATGTGGACCTGTGGTGACTTCCCTGTGACTACCCTGATTTGTTCTCAAGAAGTGCACCTTGGCCAGTGGGGGAGATGGGCTGCCTCACTGTCTTCGGGTTTCAGAAGCAGCATCCTGCAGGTCTCCCTCCTGCTGGTGCCTGGCGCTTACCTCCATGCTGTACCTCTCCACCGTCCTTCTCAGGGGGTCCACAGCCTGCCAGCAAATCAGGATACACAGGTCAATCAGCAACATGCCCCCCACAATCACAAGCAGTTTCTGGTCCTTGATGATCTGCAGAGAAGGCAAGGGCAGAAGAGAGTGGACATGAGAGAGGTTCCCCCAGACGGAAGCTGAGTGGCCGGGTTAGGGGAGTGACCATCACTCCCGTTTCAGAATCTCCAGAGACTCTTCACCACACACAGGATAAACCCAGCCAAGCTCCTTTGCTTGGCATTCAAGGCCTTTCCTGAGCTTGACAGACCACTCCCCATCCACACTGGTGCACTTAGTGAAGTCTGACAACGGCTAGCCTGGGGCCTTGCTGTGCTTTGTACCCCTCACGCTTTTGTAGGGGCTGGTTCTTTTGTCTGAAACACTTTATTCTATCTGGCAAACTCCTAATCATTCTTAAAGACCCAGATTCATTGTCCCCTCCTCCATGAAGTCCCCTCTCATGCCCACAGCAGAACAAATTACTCCTATAGCACCGTCCACATACTTAATTACCAGGAGTAGTAATATTAACGACAAAAAGAATAGCTAACATTTAACAAACACTCCCTGCCTCTTTATATACATCATCACCTATATAAAGACATATTATTATTATTCCCATTTTACAGATGAAGGAACTGAGGCTAAGTAATTTGCTCAGTGTAATACTGCTCTAAGAGGTGAAGCCCAGATTTGGATCAAGTTCCTCCTGTCTCCAGAGTCCATACCCTCCAGTATTTGCAGCACTCGCCAGGCGTTATGTTGAGGTGTATACACATCTGCCCTCCTCAGTAAACTGGGAAGCCCCTGATAGAAGAGGAGCCTTTTTTATTTATTTGTGCATCCTCAGTACCTAGCAGGGCCTGCCATGCTGCAGGTAGTTTGATGGATTGGATTGAGGTGAAGTAATATAAAAGAAGAAATAGAACTTCTAGCCCTCTCTGCAGCCTGAGATATTTTTATTACACTGTGAAATTCCCACCCCGCTTTCTGTCCGTTTGATGGGGATTGGCCTGGGGACAAACACTGTCAGTGCCAAAGCTAACTTGTATTTCACTCATTGCATGTTTATGTGCCCCCTTCCCCCAAATTAAAGTGAATGTGATGAAGTAGTTCTGGAAAAGACGATAGAAAAATAAACAAACTGGGGCAGAAGCTTAGGAAATATCACCAGGTCTGGCTTTTAATGATTAAAGCCACTTTTAAAGGAGAAACAGAAACTCCAGGGGCCTCTCTGTGGCTGAACTATGAAACGAACAGGAAGAAAGGATTTCTGAGTCATGGCCAAAGAGATCCAATCCACCAAAGCTGCTTCACCTGGGGACGGGGCGCTGGCTAAGCCTCCTCTTTGAGGTTTCCAGGCGCATCCAGTGAACTGCTGATGCTTTGCAGAAGCCCAGGTTAGCACTTGCCCTATGGGAATGAAGTAACTCTCTGCCAGCCTTGAGAAGAAATTGGGGCACACGGGAAAAATGCCCAAGGAGCTTAGGACTTGGAGGACAGACTGGAGGGGGCCCGTCTGCCTGATGCTCACCCAGGGCTGTTTGAGCCACACTGAGCCTGACCCCTGGAAGCTCTTTTCCCAACCTTTCTGCTGGCATCCTCCTCCCTTCATTTCAAGATTGAGCCTGGGCAGCTTCTCCTCTGTGAATCCAGGCATGCCCTATGCAGGGCATATGTTGCAGCCGTGATCCTGTCAGAATGGAGGCAGGGACCAGCCCGTCTCCACTCTGTGCCCTGGTGCCTTGCGCAGGGGCTGGCTCTCAGACCTTCTTGGGGAATGTGTGGGGAATGGAAGAATATGCTCTCAGGAAGAGGCCTGAAGAAAGTGGCACTGTTGAGCAAGTTCAAGGTCACTGCCTCCTGTCCAGGGCTCAGGTTTTACTTCCTAGGAGGCAGCGCCTGCTGCAGGTTCCTGTCCCTCCCCACTGGACAGCCCCCACACCTTCTCTCTGTGCCTGCTACAAGGCTGAAGGACATCTCACTGGAGTTTAAGGTCACAGCCATCTCCTTGGACATCCCTATGAGGAGCCACTTCATATTTTATGTGTGATAATTTGATTCATGTCTGTCATCTCTACTATGTTGTGAGCTCTGTGCAGCTTGGTGTTTGCTTATCGCCCTATTCTTAGCACCCGCCTGAGCCTGGCATAGAAAAAGTGCTCCATAAGCATTGGCCGACGGATGATGATCTAAGAAAACACGTCCTGAACACTCACACAGTGCCAGGCCCTGTGCTTGGGTACTGGAGACGCAGACTTGGACAGACCTGGGCTCTGCCCTCCAGGGTTGGGAGGAGGGACAGGCTTGTCATGGATGATTACAAGATGGTGCTGGAGGAGAGGAAGTAGCTTCACAGAGGAGGCGCTGGAGGCTACTGGGGGCTGGGAAGAAGGGGACGTCAGGCAGAGGAAGCAGCACTGCAGTATCATAGAGCTGAACGAGCTTTCTGGATGGCAGCTGAGGGGAGTGACTATATCATATCACCCCCTGGCTCAAGAGTCTTCTGTGAGTCCTGGTCACCCACAGGATAAATCCAGCCAAGCTCTGTTGCTTGGCATTTAAGCGGGGCCCAACCACTCCCCAAACACACACCTGCACTTAACCCCTCCCTACTCTCTGGCTGAGTTGTGTGTTTCACCCTCCAGGCCTTCATAGGTGCTGGCTCTTGTCTGAAATGCCCTGTTCGTTCTGTGAGAGGCTTTATGTGGGTGCGGTGGGTTGGGTGTGGCTGGAGAAAGGATCAGCTGGAGGGGGAGAGCTTGTGTGACATACAATGGGGCCTCATGAGGGGCCACTGGAGGTTTAAGCATCTTTAAGCATCGACGTGATGGGGTGCTCTCTGCAGCACTGAGGGGTGGACCCGAGGTGGGAGCCTGTGGTAGGATATGAGTTAGGAGCTAGGGCAGTTGTCCTGGTAAGCAGCGAAAAGCCTGATGCAGGATGGACAGGAGGGTGCCAATGCCACAAACACTGGGCATCCTCCTGTCCATCTGCCCTCAGCTTCTCAGCTCTCTCCCTTTCCCCCAACTTTCCCCACTAATAAGTGCCAGCACCTCCAAATCCCACCTTCTCTGCCACAGTTTTCCTGGCTACTCTTCCCATAGTCTCACTTCCAGGAGGCAGTGACCTTGAACTTGCTAAGCAGTGTCATTTTTTTCCCCCTGGCCTCTTTCTGAGAGCTCATGAGGTATATAGGAGGGTGGCATACCTTCCACTCCAGCACACAAGACCTTGGATTGCACAGTCTATCCTGGACAAGGAGTGGCACACTGAAGGGACAGGGCTGAGAAACGGGGTGGGGCCACACTCAGTGAGTCACCAGCAGGCGGGGGGACCTCCCTTCAGAGTGGATGCAGCACCTCTCCCCACGCCGCCTGAATGGGAGGACACCCATGTGGCACAGCTGGCCTTAAAAGATGAGCACCAGAGCTTCCTTTTCATAAATGTGATAAAGTCTGTCCAATTTTAAGGCTCAAGTATGAAGTCTGAGGTAGCACGAGGCAGCAGAAAGACAAGATGTGGGATTATGTGGACCTGGATTGGAGTCCTGGCTCTGTCTTTTGCTACCTGTGTGACTCTGGGCAAATTTCCTCTCTCATTCTGCATTTGTCATTTATAAAACAGCAAGGAGTAGGGGGAGGCAGGGAGTAGGGAGGCTCATGTATTACCTTTAAAAATGGTGCCAAGGAAAGAAAACGGGTTTTGGACTTAGAAGACTTCATTCTAATCCCAGTTTTTATTGAATGTGATCTTGGGCATGGTGTATAACATTGCTAGGCTCATCTCCTCCTCTAAAACTAGGACTTTTGAGCACTGAGTTGCAGAGTCGGTGTAAGAATAAAATGAGATGATGTATGGAGAGCACATAGTTACAGAGTCTAGCACAGGGAAGATGCTCAACAAATGGTCGCTGTTTGGCTACCGTTACTTGGGTTTTGACAATTAGTGATTCTGTTTATGTGCCTAACAGTGACATCTAGGGGCAAAATGTGATACTGTTCCTCAGCTCTATTAGACCCACAACTAATCATCACACATGGTCAGAAGATTCTGAGAATAAGAGGAGAGGACATGTCTAATTTCTTTTTGGCACCATTTCCAAAGTCTGGCACTTGACCAGTGTTTATGACTGAATGGGTTTAGGCTAAGTAGTTGTGAATTACATTTCATTCATTAATTGCAGAAACATTTATTGAGTGCCTACTCTGAGTCAGGTTTCGTTTGAGGCCCTGGGGATGTAACAGTGGACAAATCACAAATATACTGCCCTCATAAATCATGCATGATAGTGAGGGAGGCTAATTGTGAATAACGAAATAAATGCCCATGCATATACACAATACTAGGTCAAGGGGAGGTGATTTAAAAATAGTCTTTTAAAAAGAAATCTAAAATTTTAAATTTAAAAACCAGCACTGACACGACCCTACAAAGCGTGAGTACCAGGGAATCCTCACCTTGGGCATGGACAACTCTCCAGTCTCGCCTTAGCTTCTCTGACTTCCTCATTTGTCAGCTTTCTCTTCAAAAGCATGAATTTCTCTCTGTTAAATCAGTACATATTGACGCTGTCACACTCTGTTCTCTCCCAGAGGCTCCATCCTCACTGAGTGAGAGAGGGTGGTGAAGGCTCCCAGGGATGAGGAAGCACTAGGTTCTAGAATCTGATTTGAGTTTGAATATTACAACTAGCTGTGTGATCTTGGGTAAATTTCCTAATCCCTCTGAGCCAGCTTCCTCATCTACAAAACGGGGATGATAACTACACAAACCACATTAGATTACCAGAGGTTGGTTTACTTATTCAACAGAGGCCAGCTATAATGAGTAAACGTCACTTCCCATTGTTGTTTAGAGCAGGGGTCAGTAAGCTGAGAATTTGGCCCACTGCTTATTTTTGTAAATAAAGTTTTATTGGAACACACCCATATCCACTCATTTATGTATATGATTGCCTTCATTTTACAATAAAAGAGTTGAGTGGTTGCAACAGAGGCTGTATGGCCTGCAAAGCCTAACATATTTACTATCTGGCTCTTTATAGAAAAAGTTGGCTGACCCCTGGTTTACCAAAAAGGGCATTTCTTTATTTCTTAAAAATAAAGGTATTTTTACTGATTCAGACTGGCCTGTAGCTAGGACCAACTCATTGCTTAGTTCTAGGGACACCATTCCAGGGGAATAGACTACATGATGCCCTTTGAAGTTGTGCAATGCAGTGGCCCTGCCTTCCTGCCATCACTCAGATGACTGATGCTTTGGTGAAAGCCCTCTCCTGACATTTTCCTGAAGCTGAGCCAAGATGAAGATCTGAGGGGATGTCCCTATGTCACTGTACGCAACAGTATCAAGTCATATTTGTAGTGAACTTTCTTTGTCTTCCAACAAAACAAAACAAAACAAAACAAAACAAAACAAAACAAAACAACCAACCATCTGCCCCAGAGTAGAAGATCTCATTTCTGAGTTACTGCTCTCCTCTCAACATTTCAGTTTGGTCCCAGTAAGAGGCAGAATAAATAATAAAGCTTCTCAATTCAAGATTTTATGATTGGTCTTTAGAAAAAAAACAAAAACCTGTCACATGATATAAAAACACTGAATTTGGAAGTATTAAGTCACCACGTGTCAATACATCCTTTAATAGGCTTCTTTTCCTTTAATGTTTTTAAAAATGTCACCATATGGGGTGAAGTTTATGTATGTGCGTTTGGGGCGGGCATGCCATTGTGAGTGAAGGGAAGAGGAGGTGGGAGTCAGGGAAAGAAGAAAAGGATAAAAAGACTGTATGAAACAAAGTGTATGATTGCATTTACAAATTTATATAAATCTAGTATTTGTGTCAGTAAAAAAAATTAAGGGGTCCACTCTAATAAAAAAAGTCTAAACTTAAAAACACAATAAAACACAACAATAAAAACCAACCTTGGCTATGTAAATGGTTGGAACCATGGAGAATTCAATCCCAATTTTGACCTGCAACTGCCACAACCCTTTCAAAAAAATCTGGGTCTCAGGCTTGAGTTTTTGATGGGCATAAGGTATAAATTTCTCTTCTATGCCTTTAACCTCCCCTAATTTGGCTGATAAATGCAGTATTGCAAACCTGCTCCTAGAATAACTAGAAAGCCTAGAGCAAAAAGTTTCTCATACTGGAATGTGTGTTCATCTGGCCTTAATCATTTTCACAACAGACAAAAGTGGTGACCAAATCTGTACTCAGCCTGCAGCAGTTTCTCAGACAAGCCCCTGCGCTGGACCCCTGGGACCACCACCTGCCTGAGCTCTGACTTGCCCAGAGGCCCAGGGGTGCAGTGGGCCCCTGGGCTCAGGCAGTGCAGTGGGGTGTGGCCACATCACAGCTCCGCCCCCTGGGGAGTTTTCAGACAACTGAACTCCTACAGTCTTCCCTGACATGTTTTGTTGCTTGTTGCCAGAAAATCAGAGTGTACTTGCTCACCGATCACATGAGTAATAGAACAGAAAGGCTGGTTCTTTATTACAAATCACAATATGGATGAATCACATATTGACACAAAGGAATTAACACTGATTCTTCAAAGCCAGGATGGAGTTGCCGTAAGTGGCAGAGCCTCTCTCTAACGAGAGCCAGAGTGTGAGGGCCCCAGGAGTCCCTTGGTGCCTCTCACACTTTGACTTGCATCAATATCACCGGAAGGGCTGGTGAGAAATACACCTGTGGGCTCCAACTCAGGATCCTGATTCTTAGGACTGGGGGAGAGGGGACGCTGAGAATTTGCATTTTTAACCAGCTCCCAGGTGGCGCTGCTGCTGATCCAGCCCACACTCTGTGTAGCCTTGATCTAGACCAGAGGCCGTCCACCCTGGTTGCATATTAGTGTCACCTGGAAAAGCCTCCAAACTCCTGGTGCTCAACTCCAGCCCCAGAGAGATGGTTTCAGCTGGCCTGGGCTGGGCTACCTCTCATAGTTTTCAAAGGCTCTCATTTGATTGTAACATGCAGCCGGGGCTAAAAAGGACAGGTGGCGAGGCTTCTCATCTTACAGACAGAAGGGAGTTGTCACAAATGCTGCTGAGGCCCAGCAAGGGGAGGGGCCCTCCATGTGGGCGCAGGCAGTGGGTGGCCGTGTAGGGCTCTCTCCGCCCTCTAAATGCAGTCTGCATTTTCCTAAGGCATTCCAGTGTGGGGCAGGGGCCAGAGAAGGGCGGATACCCCAGCCCCCAACCTGGAGAGCAGCTCCTTAAGCGGCCCTGGCAGGAAAGACACCGGTGGTGAGGCTGACGAGTGAGAGGTGCCACTGGGCACCAGGCAGAATCATAGCTCACGAGACAATGCCATTTCAATATGTCCCCATTCTACAGATAAGGGAACAGAGGCCCTGAAAGATGAAGAGAGTTGCCTGAAGTCCCGCGGCAGGTAAATGGTGAAGCAGAGAGTAGAAACCCGTTCTCCGGCTTTGCTTGCTGGCCCCGCTGCCTCAGGCACGCTTGCTGTCTGCCACAGGTGTCAGGGCTCATAACACAGGTAAACTGGATGACAAACCCAAGTTTGGGGTGAAGAATTGAAACAAAAGATATGATGTTCCAAAGTGGGATGAGACCACAAAGCAGGGTTTGCAGAGGAGATGTCTGTAAACAGGTTATTCCCACATCAGGGGTTTAAAAAGTGTGTGTGTATATGGTGGGGTGTTGCTGGTGAGGCTGAATCAAGGAGAATTTTTGGAAAACGGTGACATGATGTTATGAGACCCACCCCCAGGTGAGAGGATAGGAGGTGGGAATGGTTTCTCCTTGACCTCAAATCAAGAGAGAGGTTTTCCAATTAAAAAATGGGCAGAGGATATGAAGAGGAATTTCTCTAAAGAGGACATACAGATGACCAACAGGCATATGAAAAAATGTTCAACCTCACTTAGCGTTAGGGAAATGCAAATAAAAACCACAATGAGATACCACCTTACCCCAGTCAGAATGGCTATCATCAATAAGTCAACAAACAACAAGTGCTGGCGAGGTTGTGAGGAAAAGGGAACCCTGGTGCACTGTTGGTGGGACTGTAGACTGGTACAGCCACTATGGAAATCAGCATGGATGTATCTCAAAAAACTGGAAATGGAACTACCTTATGATCCAGCAATTCCACTCTTAGGTATTTATCCAGAAAAACCCAAGCATTAATTCGAAAAAAATATATGCACCCCTATGTTCATTGTGGCACTATTCACAATAGCTAAGACTTGGAAACAACCGAAATGTCCATCGGTAGACGACTGGGTTAAGAAACTATGGTATATTTACACAATGGAGTATTGCTCTGCTATATAGAAGGACATAGTACCATTTGCAACAATATGGATGGAACTAGAGAACATTATGCTAAGTTAAATAAGTCAG